TTGGGCAAGCACCGTGGCTATAGGGCTCTCACTGCTCGGAGTAATCGGTCTCTGTTTCTAAGGGGAGTGTGATGTCCATCCACATGCTGGTTTGGGACAGTGCCAGGTTCAGTTTTTGCTCTGTCTTTCATCTTCCTGCCCTCTCTCCCTCCTCTAATCTCTGGTAGGGTTCCCAACTAACCCCTCAGCTGAAGCCTGGGCAGGGGATATGTTCTCAAGGGAGCTGCTGCTGAATTTGCATTATGGTCAGCTTTGAGGGTCTCAGCAGGTTGAGCTGTAAATTGGGTGCAAATTGGCCAGCAAGTTGGGTGCTAGGTACAGAATTAACACAACTGATTAGTAGCAATTCATATCGAACAGTTGACACAAAACTCCAGAGAGTCACTGAACCAGGTAGTGTGTTCCAATTAGTATTTATAGTCGAAAAGCTTTAAAAATCACTAATAATAGGCTTTACATCCTAAAGAGCTAGTGGAGCAAGAGGAAGACTCTAGTATGAGGATAGCTGTCGAAAGACTAAACTGGCAACAGGCAAAAAAGGAATAGTATTGAGCAACAAGGGGATTTGTGCTCCCAAACCTACTGGATGCTTTTGAACGTCCCACACAAGTAATTCAGCAAATATCCCCGAGGAAAATTCTGCCAAACTAGATTTAAGATGACCTTTTTGATAAATCCTGTTACTCTGTGTGCAGTGGCAGAGGAGTGTGTGGTGGGAGAAAGCAGGGGCTGACACAGCCAACATTGCTGGGTCAGTTCCAGACCCAGCTACGCATCTGGGCAAGCCCAGCTCATGCCAGCCCCGTCCTACACTGGAGGGATGGGATCTCTGTCGTGTGTGACCTCTTGGGGGTTTTTTGGGTCCCAGGGAGGCAGGGCGTATTGGGTGACTCTGAAATCATGAACATTTTAGCAGGTCGCTCACAGGCCTCAGAGGGTTGGCCATGGTGCAACACGAGGAAAAGAGGATAATGATGAGATGCGGAGTTATTCAAGACAGGATAGGAAAAACAAGTGTTATTCATCAAGGTGTACAGCAACTTCGGGCTGCAAGGAACAAAGAAGAATTTCCTCTGTGGCTGAGTTTGCACAGGTGGGAATGTTTTGCCCTCTTATTGGGTCTTTGGCTTTAGCCACTACTGGCATTGATAGACCAGTGTTCAGGAGTGAATTCCAGTTTGTATTAGAATATTATACTGCATGGAGAGAAATTTTTTAAAAATAATAATAAATATATATATATAAAATAAATAAAAAGTAAATAAAATAGAAGATATGAAATTAAATAGAGGAAATACCAGATGGCATTAAACTAACCTAGCCAGCAAACATTGACTTAAAGAAAATCTTGTTTGGATGAATGTTAAAATAAAGGCTGTCAGGAAAATGCTGCTCACTTGAAAGGACTTGGTTAAGAATGCTTGTAGACCTTGCCTGCAGCAGCAGCTGGCACCATTGAGCAGTTGCTAGACAAAGGCCAGGAAAACAAGTGAGATGCATTTAATCAGTGATGAATTTAAGGGATTTGATCATGGCATGGTCACTTTTGAGTGGCCATAATCAAAGCAAAATGCTTAAAATGAGTGTAGATACTTCTCCCGAGCAGGACCGGGTCCCACCTCGTTACCAGACAAAGTTCTAGTTGCTTTTGCTGCCAGGGCTGTGACTCAACCTGAAAATAAAGCTATAAGCAGGCTGGAGAGAAATGTTTACTGTTTTATATGGGTGTGAAAGGCTTTACTGGAAGACAGACAGTAAAAACATGAGACAGAACATTCACCTTTGAAAGTTTTTATCTGAAGGCATCTTGCTACATCTTTTCCTCTTACATAAACTCTGTAGGAATATAAAGATTACTGTCAATAATTCAGGTTACCAAAATCCTGGTTGAAAGAAAGAGGAGATTTGGGACAGATTAATAGCTGTCAAATGAATTCATCGGCAGGTGAGAGACAGGGGCAGTGCAAAGCTTTGGCTAACATGTCTTTCCTGATAAGATACAGCAGATTGCGAAAGTCAGGTCGTGTTTAAAGGTGTTAAAGGCCCTGCAAGGATCACTGGAAACAAAACCACTCTCCAATTGTTTTTTTATCTATTGGTGATGTAGTACTAAGGCAACTCTTAAAGAGGGGAAAGTATGTAACAGGAAAAGTGGCTACTTTCTCATTCAGATATGGAATGGTGAAAGAGAATGGAAGTAACACAAATCCAGTAATTTTAGTATTATTTTAAATCATATGTTCACTGTTCTCTCCGTAAAAATTGCTGACATCCCTTTTGTATTGAATTTTCTGAAAACAATGTTTGTTGCTGATAGCTCAGTTGCACTTCAACTCCTTAGATTCTTTTCATAAAAAGCACTGTGTGTAATTGTGTTTTGTCAGATGCCACTGGAAATCTTTGTCTTTGCTGTAGCACGTGGTGTTTCTGATCAGACTGTATGGAACATCTAGAAAGTGGTCCAGGGTGAGGAGAAAAGGAGAAAGATAAGTCTGTTGGTAGTACAAAACCCACAATCATGTGAGCTGCTCAGGCTGTAGCAAAGACACACGAGAGAATGGATGACAGAAGTAAGGATCCCTGTATCTGCTGCAGAAATACAGGTAGAAAGTGTAGCAAAACCACCCGCAGTCTCTGAGATAAGACAGTACAGATAGCTTGAAAACACAATTGCCAGGAGAGAAAGGATTCAAGAATGTCATATTGACTTCACTCTCCCTTGCAAGGGTTGTGAATTCTTGCCCTCTTCAGTCCCAAACTTAAAGTTAGCCTGCTTTCACTTTACTCTTCAGCAATATAGAAGCTTCGGGCGTTCCTCAGCCCAGCTCAAGGCTCTTTTGTTTGCAAAGCACTCTGCAAAGAAGTCTCTGCTCCAAAGATCTCAAAAGTTCTCAAAGGCAGTGCAGCCAAAGATAGCAGATGCCATCATGTGCCACTTAACTACATGCTTCTGCTTACACAATCATCAGTGAAGCAGTTAACACTGTGACAGAAACGATGAGCAAATGTTATCATAAAAAAAAAAAAAGCACAAAACAATACTCCCCCCCCCCTTTTTGTCTGATGGCAAATACTTCCAATAACCAAGGAGGGATGGTGGTGGAACAGACTAAAGAGTTATAGGAAACAAACCACTTTATTCTTGTTTTTTAACTGTATGCCTCATAAAATGCAGTGATAGCAGCTGGCAATCTGCAAAGTGACAGAATAAAGCACATTCTACACATATACAGTAGCTTGTTGCAGTTGATTTTTTTTTTTCCATAGAATTTTGCCTGTTCCAAATGCCTAAGTAATTCCAGATAACTGCTAATAACAGCAAGATAAAAGATCAGCTCAATGCATGACCATTAAGCACTTTTCTTTTTTTCCTTACTAATGTATGCTTAAAATCACCTTAAAATAATAAAATGTGCAATTTTCATCTTGAAATTATTCTGCTTCAATATCACTTGATATGATGGGGCTTCATCTTATGAGAGCCAAGGCTGGAAAGAGAGGCTTTGTGTTCTTTGGGAGGAATCACCCCCAGATTTCATGCTTGCATGCTCGTTCCTGTATCTGAAAGATTTCAACATACCAGAAGTTTGAGAACCATTATTCTTTTCTTTCCTTCGGAAGACAGAAAATCTGGAGACTTGGCTCAATCAGGCAGCCTTAATGGGCTAAAAATTACAAAAAAAAAAAGACAACTTGCATGATTTTGTAAAGCTTTTCTATGTATTTTTTCTGTAATGCATTTGATGTTTACAGGATATGTTCAATTTACTGGGTCTTGCTGGTAGGAGGAACTGCATAACTCGCTGGTGGCTTTGCTATTTCTCAACACTTCAGCCATCCTGAGCCATTCCTGGCAGAATTTCATGCCAAGTTATATCACACCACGCTGTCTCAGACTGATCTCGCAACCTTGAGGCAACATTCAGCCTAAAGCAGGACGTGATTAAGCAGGCAGCAGCAAAGATGTCATTTGGGGATGGATTCCTTATGGGTCCTAGGTTTCTGATGAGAATTGCTTGACAATTCCCCTAGCATGTGGCAAATCACAAGGGTGTTTGGAGGTGATAATTTGAGATCACTGGTAGTTTTGCTATAAATTTCTATAGGACCAAGGATAAGTGCTGTATCTCAAAGGACCCCTACAAGAGAGGCTCAGGGCAATGCAGAGCACAGCGTGCTGTATCTTTTCTGTAGGCCATCTTTAGGAATCATAGAATCACAGAATGGTTCGGATTGGAAGGGACCTCAAAGATCATCTAGTTCCAACCCCCCTGCCATGGGCAGGGACACCCTCCACTACACCAGGTTGCCCAAAGCCTCATCCAACCTGGCCTTAAACACTTCCAGGGATGGGGCATCTACAACTTCTCTGGGCAACCTGTTCCAGTGCCTCACCACCCTCTGAGTGAAAAATTTCTTCCTTATATCCAATCTAAATCTGCCCTCTTTCAGTTTAAAGCCATTGCCCCTTGTCCTGTCACTACACGCCCTTGGAAAAAGTCCCTCTCCAGCTTTCCTGTAGGCCCCCTTTAGGTACTGGAAGGCTGCAATAAGATCACCCTGGAGCCTTCTCTTCTCCAGGCTGAACAGCCCCAACTCTCTCAGCCTGTCTCCATAGCAGAGGTGCTCCAGCCCCTTTGAGAGGTTGCAGCAGTGATTCTCAAAGAATCTCAGAGATTCTCTCTTTGCGAGATTGCAGCAGTGTGTTTCAAGGATGTTTATAAATATCCCTCATTATGCCTGGGATTGGACGAGGCAGCACTGTGGTGGCACACTGATGTAGTCATAGGTTATTTAGAAAAACGAATTAACTTTTTATGATGTGCCTTAGGCCAAATGGGAAACAGTTAGGAAAAGTCTGTGGCAAACGTTATCCAGAGGCTGGACTGGTTTACATTTCTTGGCTCTGTAAACTAAGTTTGTAACTGAATGCTCCTTCCAGCAATATGTCTGTTTCCCTCCTTTTTTGTTGTTATCTTATATTTTTCTTTTTTCAACAGATCGACAAGACATTTTACAATTCCATTTTAAGGAAAAAATACATCCGTTCACGCTTAATCAGAGTGAGGTATGTGAGATTATACTGAATGCACGCAGCTGAGGTAAAATGAAATGTACACCAAGGCCAGCTAGAGAGCCATTTGACCTGACTCAGTAGTGTATTTTCTGTGAGACCAGAGCATCATCTGATTCTCAGCCATGCCCTCCTTTGGATCTCGATGCAGAAGATCAACTTCAGTCAGTCCAAATCCAGTACAAGTTTGCGTTCAGCTCTTGAGCAAGCTTCAGCTAATGAAGCAGATATAACTTCAGCTGTCTAAAAATAAAAAGCATTTCCAAATTTATTTCCTTCGCTACAATGCAGATGTCATTTTACTTCTAGTATTGCTACTGCACTGGGCTTGTCAAGTACAACCCAAGTATGGCTGTGCTGGTTCAGAAGGTCCCACCTGTCACTGTTGCATCTCTACGAACAGGCATAAGTAGGTGCCTAGGGAGCAGCAGCAGCACAACAGACATGTCTGATAACTACTTCTTGCTGTGTTCCCTACCTCCAGCTATTTAGCACTTGAGATTTCCTGAAGTGGTTGTGGTTTGCTTAGCAGACCCTGGTGAAGTTATTTTCCGAGGACTTGTCCAGTCTTCCCTGGACTCTGGAAATTCGTGCACCTCAGTCCTTTAGAAAGGAGTTACTTGTGAAGAGCTGCCTTCTTTGGATCATTCAATGGCCCCTAGTTCTTGTGCTGGAAGAGGTGATGAAAAGTTGATGTCTGTCCCTCCTCTCCATGCAATTAGTGGTATCGGATGCTCCCATCATATCCTTTTTCTTTCCTGTACCCCACAAGCTCCACTCTTTTTTTCAGTTGAAAGTCCCAGCCTGCTCAGACATGCTTTGCAGGAACTGTTCCTTGTCACCCTGCTCTGCGTCTCTTTCAGGTATGCTGTCCCTGCTTTTTGAGATGACGGGGTCAGACCTGTGGTTGGGATTATCATTGAGCAATGTTTTTCTTTTTCTCTTTTATTCTCTGCTCATTTGCCAATAATACCTAATGTTTGATTTGATTCTTTTTTGACCACTGTTGAGTGCTGAAAATGACATTTTTATAGAACTAATTGTAATACTAACGTCTTGTTCCTGAGTGACAGTGCCCATTGCTTCGCAAGGAAGCCTTGAATGTCTTAATAATCACGCTCTAAAGCTGCAAGACAAATTATAGCAGCCTCAAGATCTTATTCTTGTGAATGTATTTCTCCTTATTCTTTTATGGTTTGTGACATAGAATCATGACATCTTGCCTCCTGCTCTACCTTAGCTTCATTCCCAGTTAGGCAAATCACGGAAGTCATTATTTGAATGTAGCTTTGGGAATATTTTTCGATACTGACTCGTGTTTTAAATGTAGACAAGGTGTTTTAAGGATCTGAGTGGACAATCTGTAGGGAGAAGTAATACTTTTTATTACTTCTTGTTCCCAAGGAAAGACTGAGGTGTTTGCTATGTTGGATGCAAGACTTGCATGTGCCAAAGCTTGTCTGCTTTTTCAACTAGACGAGCTTTACGCCTCTTTAAGTGCTCAGACTGCAAAGCTCTTTTAAGCAGGGTCATTGTTGTGAATTTGCTTGGAAAGTGCTGTGCCTATTTTTTGGCTCAGAATAAACAGTGCCTTAGTAATCATGCCCACTGCTCGCTGAGAAAGACAAGACAAATGTTGACTGGGTGTCTTTGGCTCTGGATCTTTGCTATAGAGTGAGTGATTCAAGGCGGGCTGTACCTACCTGAGGGTTTCGAGAGGTGTGGTGTGCTTGCAAGAGTTGATACGGTAATTCTAGTGTGGCACAGCACAGGAAGAGGAGTTGGGGGAGAGGTGAGGGAACACCTCAGAAATGCAGAGCAACACCCTCAGTTGGATCAGATAACATCTGGAAAATAAACGGAGTGGCAATCACGCTGAAGTTGGCACAAAGGGAAAAAACAGCCTGTTGGAAAGTTCACATAGAGCTACTCAGTCTCTATTATGAGATCCCTGAGGCAAGGAACGTGTCTGCTCAGCTACAAAACTCAGCGTACCTTGGTGTCCTCATAACACATGACTTTTTATTTGCCCTTCTCTGGCGACTGCAGGAATGTCTGTTCATTTGGGTGTATGTTCCTTTTGAAGATCATAACCTGATTGCATGACTTCTGTATGAGCTACTTGCCTTCTATTTTTAATTTTCTTATTTTTTCCTACATACAATTAGAATTTTGTGAAATAGTGAGTTGTAACTGGAAGACCTTCTCTTTTCCTTTCCTATCTGAACGATGCTTAAGACAGAGCAGCCTGCTTTTAGCTTGCCTCCTGTATGAATTCACTGTGATTCCACCTGTTGTGGGTTGTGTCATTGCTTCTTGGCCCAGGTAGGAGGAGGCACAGGAGAGAAGGTTCTCAGTGCACACTCTTATCTTCCCTGTGTAATGAGCAAGGATAAGCCATCTGCAAGCACAGAGCAAGATTTACTATGCCAGATTAGATACATTGGTGTTTGTAGTCTAGCATCCAGTCCCTTGCAAATCTGTTGTTTAAGGAAAAATAAATACCACTACCGGGTGAATTCAGTCTGTTCAAAGACTTTTCTTCCCTTTTTTTCCTCTGATCTTACGTCAAAATTGTGGGATTGTGTGTCCCAGTGTGAGTGCCACTTGTACTTGTCAGCGAGATGTTAAAGGCCCCTTTTGTGGTCCATCTCTTGGACTGTGATTGAGTAGGTTGTGGATATGCTGCCGAGTTTCTTTTATTGTTGCATAAAGTGAGGTTATGAGTCACGCTCTCCTGAGAAGTTGTAGTGGTGGAATTGGGTTGTGTGGTTTCTCCTCTTTGCTCAAGTATCTGTTTGATGATGATTGGAAAACTTTATTCTGTGTATGCACAGGGCCCTGGAAAGGTCTGTCTAGATACCATTAATCATCTACCTGCTGTTTCTGAAGGTATCAAATCAGTTCATTCTCTCCTGCTCTTCTGTCCCAAGCATGTAGTCAGTGACTGCTTTTTAGACTCCATTATAACATTGGTCTGGCCATTTTTTCGCAGAAAGCATCATGCCTTCTTCTAGCCTAAGACGCGTTAAACCATTCAGCATTTGCTTGGATTTCTTTTGGCAACTCCTTCTCTCAAAAATATACAAAATGTTCAAAAATTTATCTAATCCTCTCTGTTACGTTGCCATTGCTAGAGGAGCTAAGATAAAAACTAAGAAATGCAGAAATGGGCTGAAGGGTAACCCGATTGTTTCATTGGTTTGTAGCCCAGATGCTGATGGTGTGATGGCAGAGGCTTTGCTCACATTCTGGTTCTCCTCCACGGATTCTAGAGAAGCGTTGCGAGAAAGAGTTGAAAGGATCTTACGGAGGGGCCTGAAAAAATACACAGGGCCTCTGCGAATAGATGTCAGATCTTCTACCATCTCAAGTAAGTATATAACATCTCTCTTAAAGGTAGCTCTTGCCCTTTTATGATTGATGGGACTTGGTTTTTCCCTTCTCGTGATGGCTGTTACTGACTCTGAATGACGGTCTTTCCCGCTTGTTAAGTTAGAACAAAAATCAGTGGCGATGTGTAAACCCCACCTAAGTCTTTTAAATATGTCTTAAACATGGATGAACAGAAGCAGTTGCAATACAGCCTTAGCCTCCCCCCAAACTGCAGTACCAACCTTTTGCTCCTCGCCACAGTGCTTCAGAACACAGCAACACAAACACACTCCCTAGGTCTTTGCTTCTCTGAGGAGCCTGAAAGTGCAGAAACTATGTTTGGATAGCAGGGAAACAACCAAGGCACTGAAAAAATAACGTGGTGGAAGGATCAAAATCCTCGCAAATTCTCCAAGGAAAAGAGAGGGAAAATGGTTATAATCTATGTGACTTCTCAGCTGGGGATCTAGCCCCTTCTTTGCAAAGCAGACCCACATCTTCAGGCTGTGAAAATCAACAGCACCATCTTTTTGATTTAGTGAATTACCAAACAGACACTGAAAGGTGGGTTTCCCTCCCCTTCTGCACTTCTGATCTGTTAGAGGATTTTTGTGCAGGCTTAGACTCTTGTCTCTGACTTGACTTCAATTCTATATAGTCAGCATTTTTTCTGGGTGTCAGACCTTTCAAGAATGGGTTGCTAGTTGAAAGGAAGGAGCAGATACTCACTCCATTTGTTTTTGCAGACCTTCCACTTACTCCTAGCACAAAGGTGCACATGGGTGGGTACTTGCTGCTTGCTTTTCCACACTAGACTACTTAAACTAGCAGAGATCTGCAGAGGCCACATAGCTGAGTTGAGAGAACAAGAAGCCTGGGCCAGATTCCAGGCTGGATGGATCCAGACTTCCTGCCACTCAGAAATGGATTGGAACAGCTCAAGATGACAGGTGACATCCCTTTGGGCAAAGAATCACCATTTCTCTGCACTGGTGTTTATATGCCAGTAGCTCCTGTTCAGCAAAGTGCACGTGTAATTTCTCCCAATTAGAAAGTGTGTGGGCATCAACTAGAAAGATTCAAAGGTGGGGTTTTTTTTTTGGTTTTGTGTGTGTGTTTTTTTTTTTTTTTTAAAAACACAGGTCATGATTTAGTGAATTTTGAAGTTGCAGTTTAATTTGATGCCTTACATAAAGGATAAAATCGTAAGGAGTACAAAAATGCTTGTTAGAAAAGGACTGTGATCTTCTCATTGAGTTATCTGATTAGCTGCTTTTTTTTGGTCTGGCAAATGTGGGAAGTGACTTAAAACTCTGTTTAGTTGACCTTGAACTGCACCAGGGCTGTTACAGCAATGCACTAGTTGCTAGTTAAAAAAAATTAGCCGATATAATTGAATCACAATGTTTTCGTTAAACATTGGGTCTCAGTAAAAGATGGCATCTCTGTGTTACTTTGATAAAGTTGTATGATAATCTTTGTGTTGCTTTTCTTGGCTCTCCCAGCCTAACCATAAAACACTGACTGCCTAGGTCTGCTCCTCACTACAGGTCTGGCATTGTGCAACCGTTACACGTGACACAAAGGAACATAAACAATACCTGGCCATTTCTAGGAGATGACAATAAAAGGTTCCATTTGGATCTTTCTTTTCTAACAGGATGTCAGCAGTGCTGTGAGGCTCAGGCAAGCTCCTGTTGGTGCTGCTGTTTAAGAAAACCAGGTTGACTCAAGCAAAAAGTATAGAACAGAGTGCTCCTGTGCTTTTAGAGGAGGTGCAGGTCGCAATTCATAAAGCTTGTCTTCTTCCTCACACTTGGGAGAAGTGACAATTTTCAACAGATCCTGGAAGTCCAGAGAGAGATCTAGGTTTTGCATTTCCCGTTTCTCTCTCCCCTCCTGAAACCTGTCCAACATTATTACTTAAACCTAGGAAAGTTAAGAAGCCCTAGATTTTTTTCCCGTGCTCTGCAGCGCCTTCCTAAATTTTGCCTCCTTGTAGCTTTGATGGTTTTGCCAACCGGAATCCTTGTTTATGTTAAGACAATCTCAGAACGTTTTCATAATGGCTTGTAAAAAATCATTAACCTGTTCATTGTAATCACCTTATCAAAAGATTCTAATGTGGGGGCCATAATCTATAGCTTAGTTTAGCTAAGCATAGCTAACTAGTTGAACAAATCCAGGTCAGGCACTTATTTGCATCGCAGCTAGGAGGGTCTGATAAGCAGAACCTCCTTAAATCTTCCTCCCAAGATCTAATCATCTTGTTGTTCAACACCATGTCTCAACTTGCATTTCTCTCAAAAGTATTTGCTTTGGAGATCAGCTCCAACAAACTCCTGCAACACTTGGGATCTTCAGCTGCAGTTCAGGGCAGCAGTACAGAACTAAGCAGTCTGCCAGCCCAGGGGTAGAACTTGCTTTGCGTCTTCATTCCTAAGGACTGAGAATAAAGAGGGGATAAAATCTAAACTGACAATATTTTATTAGTTCAGGGTTTGGTTTTTTTTTTTTCAAAAAGAGAGAAGCTTGATCGTACAGATGTGAAAAAACAGCAAATGTGCAAAACTTAAAGAAAAACAAACCAATATTGTCTCTGGTTTGTATCATCACTCAACAACAGATGTTTTTTACATAGGGCTGCAAAAATTCTTTTGTATTGGGGTGTTTCCAGATGTGTTATTACTGAAGTCCTCGCTTTCTTATTTAGCTAGACTTCATAGTCCCCTGCTCCAGGACAGCAGTATCTCCAGATGTCCACTATAGCTTTGATAAAAAATGGGAGGTGATAGAGGTCTCTGCACTTGTATACAAACCCCACTGGAAGCCTAAATATTTTTCAGTGAACAATCAGTCAAACTAAGCCGTATCTCCTCTGAACAGCAGTGCAAGGGCCAGCAAAATGAGATATCAAAGCTGTGTGGCTTGGAAACACCCGCATTAGGACTTGCTCTTCCACTGGCACTGAAAGAAGGTGTTGCAGTTTGTCCTCTGTATAGTTCTGGCACCAAAGAGAGCTCTTACATGGCTGAATTTTTTTTTCCCCAGGGTTTCTTGGTTAGGAGTAGGGTCACCTCACAGCTTGGATCCCTATTGAGCAAAGTGTAGAGCAGCTTGCCAGACTATTTCCCTTTGTCAGGTAGGTTGGAAGTTTCCCAAAATGTATTTTTGGGAATGTTCTGACGTCAGAAAGAAACTGGTTGCAAGATCACTGGCACTGTTTAAAGGGAGTAGGAAGTATTCCCACCTGTTGCACAGCCAAGGGTTTTGACCATGAACAATGAGTCATGAATTGGTTTTGATCAACTAGTCAGCTGTTATTATCTCTATTTATCTGGCATCTGGGGCTTGCTAAAGCTCTTTACAAATACAAAGTACAGAACCTAGGAGACAAATTCTGTATTGAGACTTCTTTGGGAGACACGCAGATAAGTGTCTGACCTGGATGACTGAGGAATATTTCATCTCAAATAATGCATGTAGAGTGGGGTTTTTTTTTGTACTTTACTAGCCACAATAGCAGCTTGGGGGAGTGGACCAGGACATGCATCTGTACATTGGGAAATACAGTGGAGATCTGACATTCCCCCACTTTGATGCCATTAGTTTGGCACAAGGTGGTACATTTCAGTGTTTGCAAAGGTTTAGAGAGGCTGAAAAGTATTTTAAAGTTAATATTCTGCAAGGACATGCTTGTGATGAAGGAATTAAACAGGAAATCATCCTGGCCTGACTTCTTAGATGACCCAGATAAGTTGATTTAATTAATTTCCTCACTCAGTTCTTGTTTTTCTCTTTCTCTGCCTTGCCTGCAGAGGTTGCAGTGATGTGGGCTACCCCTGCTGTCGTGGAACCTTGATTGCAGCCAGGGCATGCATGTAGGCCAGGAAGAAAAACGTTGCTAAAAACTGTGTGAGCTTGGATATATGCTCCAGGACTGAGCGATAGTTCCCCATGCGGATCCCTCCTCATGCTGCAGGACAGCCAGATGGAGTATGCTGTGAGGTGTGGACCTCTGTCTGTCCTCGTGGACAGAATTAAGATGTGGTTGATGGTGAGGGGGAAGTCATGGATGTGAGGACAGGTCCAGCGGACATAAGTAGGGAGGGAAGGGCTGGGTGACAGGGACAATTAGAGGTACAAAGCCTTCCTCTTGTCTCTACCAGGTTACTCTCCCCCATTGAAGGAACGAGAATTGCATCACCTGTATCTAAGCCATGTTTTGCTACTTCTACAAGGGTGCATAACTCTAGGGAGGTAATTCTTGTTGAGAGAGCAGGGGGAATATTGGAAGGTTGGTAAGGAGATGTTTTAGGTTGCGTGCAC